TGAATATTTTTTTCTCATATAATTAAAAAAACTGTTCGCTAGGCGTAGGCAAGACCGTAAGCAAAAAGGTAAACTGGGATAATACTAAAGAGTTAATCAGGGTGATTATTCCACAAATTGACAGGTATTTACCTTTCCATGGTAGCAAGATCTTATCTATTTTTGCTAACTTTCTATTAAAAGTTATTGAAGTGAGATAATTTACTTCCTTTGGGATATGTATTCCGAGTATATCCACATCACCATCAGACCATTTTATTGGTCAACTACATGGTAATGTAAAAATTGTATTTTTTAGTGATCCAATACGTAATATAGTACATTTGTCATAATTTGGTTGTAATCCAGATAGGTTACAAAATGTATCTAGATCCTCTATGAGGCTGTGGAGGGATTCTAGTTGTGGATTTAAAAGAAAACATGAATCATCAGCGTACAATGACACCTTTGTTTTTAAGCCCTGGATTTCTAATCCTCTGATATTATTATTGGATCTGATTTTAATAGCTAACATCTCGATGGCCACAATAAATAGATATGCCGATAGTGGACAACCTTGTTTCACTCCTCTTGACAGTTTAAACATTTCTGAGAAATAGCCATTATTTACTATTTTAAACTTAGGGTTACTATACATGATTTTGACCCATTTTATAAGAGATTCTCCAAAATTGAAATGCTCCAGGCATTTATATATAAACCCCAGTCGTACTTTATCAAATGCCTTTTCGAAGTCTGCTATGAATAGCAGGCCTGGTTTCCCATATTTTCCATAGTGTTCTATTGTTTCCAATACTTGCCTTATATTATCTCCAATGTATCTTCCATGTAAAAAACCTGTCTGATTAGAATGAATAATATCCGACAATACCTTTTTTAATTCTATGCGCTATACATTTTGCTAGAATTTTTGCATCACAACACTGAAGTGTAAGGGGCCTCCAATTTTTTTAATGGACTGGATCTTTATATTTTCCACTTGTATCCTGTTTCAGTAATAATGAGATCAGACCTTCTTCTTGAGTGTCAGATAATCTACCATTTACATAGGATTGGTTCAAACATGCTACTAACGGTCCTCTTTGTCACGCTCGTCGATAGAAGTGGACCAATGCGCAGCGTGATGAGTGAACATACTTTTATTTTAGATTCACCACACGAACAAAACAACAAAACGATAACGTGAAGTCCTTGGTTACAATACAAAACCAACACGGAACAAGATCCCACAAAACACTGTGGAAAACAGGCTGCCTAAGTATGGTTCCCAATCAGAGACAACAAGCAACAGCTGATACTCGTTGCCTCTGATTGAGAACCACCCCGGCCAACACAGAAACACATGAGCTAGATAATCAACCTAGAACACAAAACACATAAAAACAACACACCCTGGCTCAACATAACTGAGTCCCAGAGCCAGGGCGTGACACTCTTAGTATATCAAAAAAGGTTTGGTATACCTCGACTGGTATGCCACCCAACCCTGGAGTTTTCCCGGACTTAAAGTCTTTAATTGCATCCAGAAGTTCCTCCTCTGTAATTTCACCTTCACATTAGTCTTTCTGTATGGCTGTTAATTTGACATTATCAATAGAAAAAAATCTCTACAATTAGCTTCAGTTAGAGGAGATGGAGGCGACTGAAAAGAAAACATATGCTTAAAGTACTTTGTTTCCTCCTTCAAAATATAATTTGGTGAATCATGGGTGACTCCGTCAATTGTAACCAGTTTCATTAAGTTATTTTTGGTAGCATTCCTATGTTGAAGATTAAAAAAGAACTTTGTTCATTTTTTCCCATATTCCATCCAGTTTGCTTTATTTTTTATAATACACTGCTCAAAAAAATAAAGGGAACACTTAAACAACACAATGTAACTCCAAGTCAATCACACTTCTGTGAAATCAAACTGTCCACTTAGGAAGCAACTCTGATTGACAATAAATGTCACATGCTGTTGTGCAAATGGAATAGACAACAGGTGGAAATGATAGGCAATTAGCAAGACACCCCCAATAAAGGACTGGTTTTGCAGGTGGTGACCACAGACCACTTCTCAGTTCCTATGCTTCCTGGCTGATGTTTTGGTCACTTTTGAATGCTGGCGGTGCTTTCACTCTAGTGGTAGCATGTGACGGAGTCTACAACCCACACAAGTGGCTCAGGTAGTGCAGCTCATCCAATATGGCACATCAATGCGAGCTGTGGCAAGAAGGTTTGCTGTGTCTGTCAGCGTAGTGTCCAGAGCATGGAGGCGCTACCAGGAGACAGGCCAGTACATCAGGAGATGTGGAGGAGGCCGTAGGAGGGCAACAACCCAGCAGCAGGACTGCTACCTCCGCCTTTGTGCAAGGAGGAGCACTGCCAGAGCCCTGCAAAATGACCTCCAGCAGGCCACAAATGTGCATGTGTCTGCTCAAACGGTCAGAAACAGACTCCATGAGGGTGGTATGAGGGCCCGACGTCCACAGGTGGGGCGTTTGGACAGCAGGACGTTTGGCATTTGCCAGAGAACACCAAGATTGGCAAATTCGCCACTGGCGCCCTGTGCTCTTCACAGATGAAAGCAGGATCACACTGAGCACATGTGACAGCTGGAGACGCCGTGGAGAACGTTCTGCTGCCTGCAACATCCTCCAGCATAACCGGTTTGGCGGTGGGTCAGTCATGGTGTGGGGTGACATTTCTTTGGGGGGCCGCACAGCCCTCCATGTGCTCGCCAGAGGTAGCCTGACTGCCATTAGGTACCGAGATGAGATCCTCAGACCCCTTGTGAGACCATATGCTGGTGCGGTTGGCCCTGGGTTCCTCCTAAAGCAAGACAATGCTAGACCTCCTGTGGCTGGAGTGTGTCAGCAGTTCCTGCAAGAGGAAGGCATTGATGCTATGGACTGGCCCGCCCGTTCCCCAGACCTGAATCCAATTGAGCACATCTGGGACATCATGTCTCGCTTCATCCATCAACGCCACGTTGCACCACAGACTGTCCAGCAGTTGGCGGATGCTTTAGTCCAGGTCTGGGAGGAGATCCCTCAGGAGACCATCCACCACCTCATCAGGAGCATGCCCAGGCGTTGTAGGGAGGTAATACAGGCACGTGGAGGCCACACACACTACTGAGCCTCATTTTGACTTGTTCCAAGGACATTACATCAAAGTTGGATCAGCCTGTAGTGTGGTTTTCCACTTTAATTTTGAGGGTGACTCCAAATCCAGACATCCATGGGTTGATACATATGATTTCCATTGATAATTTTTGTGTGATTTTGTTGTCAGCACATTCAACTATGTAAAGAAAAAAGTATTTCATAAGATTATTTCATTCATTCAGATCTAGGATGTGTTATTTTAGTGTTCCCTTTATTTTTTTGAGCAGTGTATATTACACATGATCTTTCTTGAATTAATTTCTCCATTCTTTTTGTTTTTCCTCTAATTTATTCTGAGCCTCTATGTTACAGTTTTTATTGCCATCTATCTGTTCTGTTAGACTTTCTATTTCCTTTGTTAGTATAAACTCTTTTGACCTAAATTGCTTTTGTTTTCGAGATGAGTACTGAATTGCATGGCCTCTAAAGGTACATTTAAAGGTGTCCCATACAATAAGTGGATTTGCTGTACCTATGTTATGTCGGAAAAAGTCAGTTATAAATTCCTTTGTTCTAATTATAAATAAATTATCATCCAATAGGCTTTGATTACATTTCCAATATCCTCGCCCACGTGGAAATTCAGTAAGAGTAATGTATATGCCAATTATATGTTGATTTCTAAAGTATTATCAAAGACATAAGTATTATCAATAGAAAGACTTAAGTATTAGCTGTATACTTTAACAAATGAAATCAATAGCACATTTGACAAATAATCACAACCGGCCAGTAGGTGTGTATATATATATTTAAAAAAAAAATAATACAATGGATCATCCCTCCCATTGATAAATGGCCAAAAAACATGCACCAAGGTTCTACTGTCACCCTTCACCAAAGCCAAACATTTTTTATTTTCATAGATGCAATGACAATTGTTAGTGTATGAATTAAAGGGATACTTCGGGATTTTGACAATGAGGCCCTTTATCTACTAATAGGTAGTTTCACGAGCCAATGCTAACTAGCATTAGCGCAATGACTGGAAGTCTATTAGTATCTACTAGCATGGTTGCCTCATTGCCAAAATATCCCTTTAAACTGACTTTCCACAACCATCATTACCTTACAATGGGCCTTGAACTGTACAATATATCTGTGGTTGTGTCCCAATAATCTCTCCTTCCTGCTAAAGTGTGACTCGTTCACTAGTCTCCAACATATTGAAAAGCATTGGATTGGTGATGACATGGGCATTTGTTCACTTGAATTTGACAGGAAATTACTGTTATATTCCATGACTGGTTTACATTTTACCAGTCATTAACTTTAAAATCCATGAAGCGAAGGGAACAAGCGCACACTTCGTGAGAAAAGGAAATTGGGATGCAAACTATGTGATGAGGCAGGAGGAAGAGAGGGAACTAAGTTAAGAAATCAGAGGAAGGAACAGGAGCATTGAACAACATGCACAGTTCTGAAGAGGGCCAACACATTCATTGATTTCCTCAAGGTATTTTGAAATATAAGTTTCCAGATATCTGCATTTTAGAAAGGGCAGCGGTCAAGATATTTAATTGCATTGCGCAAGAACAACAATCAAGGAGCCAACATCATTCCTGACGGAAAAGTTTACAAATACAAGCTGCTCTGTGCTAAACGGCTCTTAGCTTGCCAGACATTCACTGTACAAATGAGTGTTCCCCAAGTGAGAAATTCAAATGACAAAGAATGTTTATTTGTGTGCTGGCCTCAAAGTCAGTACAGATACACCAAGTACTTAAAAAGTAGAGGGGACAAGTTTACAGTGACACACGCATGACCAAGTCTAAAAACAGGGACAATGAGGACCAGTGGTAGGGTTGAATTGTGGTGTTCTGACTGTATGTTAGAATTGTAACATACTTATAAAATGTTATAATGGCCTTGTGCCTGAAGAGAAACAAACAAAAAACTTATAAGAGGGAGGGAGTAGGGAGGAAAGGGAAAAACAACAAGGCATCCTTGCACTCGCTTCTCTCAGAGGATCATGGGAAACTGTCGTCATCATCTTCGGCCATCTCCTTGGCAAACTCCAGGTCCTGCTGCTCCCGCTCTCTGCGCTCCTGAAACGTAAACACACAAGCATTATGTCAACACAGCTGCCATATGGCACTTTTTGGGATCCCTAACCAAATTCACATAGAAATCTGTGTTATAGATTTGTCATTCTCATTGAAAGCAAGTCTAAGAAGCGGTAGAGCTGTTCTATGTGCAACATATTTATGCCTCCCGTTCTTAAGTTTTATTTTTGCGTCGTTAACATTCGGTTTTGAAAATATATTTTTGGTTATGGAAAATATATTTCACAGTGGTTTAGATGGTACCATGATTCTCACAAACTGAAATTAGGCAAACTATTAGCAACCAGAAAATGGCGGAGTGATTTCTGCATAGTGCATCCTTAAAATGATGAAGTTTGCAAATAGTTCACATTTTAGAATGACAGTAAGCATTGTCTGAAATTCTAGTCCCAAATAAACATTTGACAAAACTAGTTGACAACAATGCCCCCTTGTGGTCACAATTTTAAAATGTAGTTCTGCAGCACAGATAAAGAAAACATGTCTTACCATGTCCTACAACAGAACCCTCACTAGGGTCAATTTCAGGGGCTAATACAAGGAGTAGTACAAGGTTGGTACACACCTCTGCTGATTCTAGGTCCTTGTTGTAAGCCTTGGGTGGAAACCTCATGGCCTTGACAGACATGTTGTGTATGTCCAGGCAGAAGGAGATCCTCTGGTGGAAGGCCAGCTGGGGCTCCCTGGTACCGTAGATGTCCATGGTCTCTTTAGACTGAACATAGCCCTTCTCATGGTTGATGCTGGCCTCAATCACTCCATCACGGATAGCCTGGAAGAGAGGGATGGAGGTTGGGAGAGAGAAAAATCAGAAAGAGACTGCGGTAGTGTTCCATTGTGTCACCTGTGACTTAGGACAGTTGAGGACTGCATGCCGTATTTATCACACACAAGTGATGTGCTTTTCTATTAATTTAATAACTTTAGGAAATCCTTGCATGAGCTGACGTAGCGCAGGAGGTGGGGATAAGGTAAGGGTATGTAGTAATTCAGGGGGACTCAACTACTATTTGAGGTCTGGTCGCATATTTCCTAGGTGGCAAAGGTCCGGATGAATAATGTAGTTTATTGGTGTGGTAACAAACCCCCACTTCGCAACCCATGCGACCCCAAACTGTTCATCCCCCTCTTGTTGGCGGAGAGAAAAAGCTAATTTCTTGCAATTCAACACATTTTTCCATGTCTTGTGTGTTCATGATACCCGAGTGACTCAACAAAATCAAATGGGGGCATCCCTGGGGTCGAGGCCCCTGGGCACGCAATCTGGCCAAGATCACTACAAGATTTAGATAACTGGTTAGCCTAACTTACCTATCTAGCTAAATCGGCCTAGTAATTGATCAACTGGACATTTCTGACAAATTATAAATAGCTCTCTAAGGTCTGTCAGTGAATGACAGAGGAAAACTGCCCATGCACTACAACATTTCAAAATTGCGCATTCTACTATTACAACTCTCAACAGCAGTAAGTTGAAAGCCAGACTAAGTAAAAACTTTTTTTTCTTTTTTTTCATCCACTTCTTATTGATAAAGTAGGGCCCCGCGGTCCGTATCGACCCTGTTCTGAGTCCGGTCCGGACCAAGGTCCACCAGTTGAGTATGGCTGTAGAATATCATGTTACCTTGGCCACTATGAACTCAGCATCCTCTGGACTGTCCAGCTGCAGCTTCTGAGCGATGTCTGCCAGGGATATACGTGAGTATGACAGGCTGATCATACGCACACCTACAGGGAGACATGGTGTTAAATATCAACAAGTCATTCAAGTATTAAAAAACAGTTAAAAAGAAGAGGAAGCCATTTGAGAATGTGAAAGAATAGCCCAAAGTGAAATGCCTGGTCACTCACCTGTCTTGATGACATTGTGTCGAAGGCGGATGATCAAGGTGTAGGTGCCGTCTGCCTGGAACTTCTCTCCAAACTGATCCAGGGCCTGGTTGAACTTGGCCAGGTTACCCGTCCTAACGGCTGTGTGGGAACAGAGACCAGGGTTCACATCTTACTCACACTAAAGACTCATTCTCATGACCCAGCTCGCCACCAATTTACCCTGGGTGAGCAGGAAGTAGGGCGCTAAGGATCGCTTCAGGGGAGCCTGGCGGAACTGCAGCCTGTCTGGGATCTCCCCAAGCAACAGCTCCACCACAATCAGCAACTTGTGGACCTGGAAGGGATGGAGAGAAGATGTGAACAACCTGAACTTTTTTGTGGTATACAGTGGGCTATTTTATTTGTTAAGCACTTTGAATTGAATCCTGTGAATTACTAATTCATCCCTGAAAAACTAGTTGATACAATTTACGGCCAAGTGGCAAACAATAATGCAGGCATTAGGGATGGAGGTGTGAGCATGCTGGTCTGGGCAGATGAGATGTAGTCATTGTGTGCGTCTAAGTTGTTGTTTGTGTGTGTAGGTTTGTGTATGAAGTGGAGAAACTAAATGAAGAAATGTCAAACTAAATATTATATATTTAAAAAAAGAAGAAATGAATCATCCCCTGTAAGAAAAGAAATGTGCTCTATAAATAAAGTTTGATTGAAAATACATTGTCAGGCAATACACTATGGGAAATTTGAGAGTCAACTCTTAATAGTTTCTCCTTTTTAATAAGGTAGCCTAGTGGTTAAGAGCATTGGGCCAGTAACCAAAAGGTCGCTGGTTCAAATCCCTGTGACGACTAGGTGAAAAATCAGTCGATGTGCCCTTGAGCAAGGTTCTTAACCCAAATTGCTCCTGTAAGTCGCACTGGATAAGAGTGTCTGCTAAAAGAGTAAAATGTAATAAATGCACTGAGGAAAAACTGCATGCTGTGTGTGTACTGACTGTCTGTTTGAAGCCCACTGCTGTGTGTTGGGGGGCCTTCCTCAGGGCGTTGGTCAGGGTCCTCCTGGCCTCTGTGTACTCCAGCTGGATGGCCTTGATACGACCTGGAGGGGGGAGGGAGAGAATGGTCAGAGTGGAAAAGCAGAAAACTAAGGCCATAACTACAAATTCATTAATATTCTGAGGCAGTTTATTATAGTCACTTCAAAACCTGTAGAGGCATATTGGTCTGAAAAACATAATTCAATTGAATGTGATTAAACTAAACAACTTCTGATGTCTTCAACTAGTAAAATGTTTAAAATGTATCACGAGTGACACCTTATTTCAACAGAAATGTGTATGCTTAGGGAACCTCCCCCTCTCTCTCCTTCCCAGTCTCTCTCACCGGTGTAGTAGAGGTAGCGGGCCCACTCGTTGTTGTTGGCCAGTTCGGGGAAGACTGACTTGGACACCAGCTTCTCAGCCTGGTCGTACAGGTTGTACTGCAGGTAGTTCCTCAGCAGCAGGTTGAGCAGCGTGGCCTGGCCGTCGGCGTCGTGCCGCAAGGTGGCCGTCCTCAGACGCGTGTGCAGGAAACTTTGAGAAGGGTTTTATTTAGTTTAATATACACGACTGGCCTACTGCCTTTTGAATCAACCTCCATCTTTCCCCACCGTCATCCTCTCCATCTGTTTAATTAAGTCAGAAAATACTTTAAATATATCTAAAAAGGAACAAAAACAGTCAGTGATAAAGTGTTGGTGGGCTTACCTACGCACGGTGTCCAGCTGGTTGAGGAACTCGTAGACGCGGGAGTGGTAGTAGTAACACTTAGCGGCCACCAGGTCCAGAGCCCGCCGGTTCTGAGGGCCGATCTTCTGCAAGAGCTCGTCTGACACCTTCTGGGCCTACAGAGAGAAAAGTGAGAAGCTAAGAACCAAGTCAGGCAGTCGGGCATTAACACAGTCATCATTTATTTCTAATGACTACGGTGTGATGGTGAGCATTGTAAATATCAAAGAGAATTCAGAGCTCAATCCAACATAAATATGTACTGTGCATGCATGAGAGCAAGACAGAGGCATGAGAGAGAGAGTGTGTGAGCTCAGTCAGCCCACCTCTGTGTAGCGTTTGTTGTTGGTGAGGTAAACCACCAGGAGCAGCTGCAGGTAGGCCTCCGCCTCAGGGATCAGGGGGGTGGCAGCTGCCTTCCCTGTACGGGGCCTGAACTGGACATCTCCCTCTGTGTCCATGGGCTGGATGGATGCAATAGATGGAGGGGAGAGGGTGTTGGTAGAGGAGGGGGAAGGAAAGACAGAACCGGACAGAAAGGGACCAAAGGAGCCAAGTGGGCAAAGGAGACAGAGAAAAAGGCCATGAGTAATAGTTCATAGCCAAGGTTTCTCAACAACAGTAGTAGTAATAGTAGTACCACAGTCGTTTCTATCTGATACGATCTGCACTCATCGTACCTCCTCCAGGAAGCTGAGTAGGAACTCCTTGCCGGCGGCGTTGGAGGTGTAGAAGCCAGACACAGCCTTGTGCAGCACGTTGGGGTTGAGGCGGCGGCTGGTCGAGGGCAGGGCGCGCAGGGCCCTCAGCACAAAGCGAGGCTCCTTGCCCGACACAGCCTTCTCTATCTGCTTCACATGCTCTTTGATGTCTATAACAGGAGAGGGGGAGTAAGGTCATAAGGAGAGACCTTTATAGAAGAGTATAGAAGAGGGATGAAAAAAAGCTGACAGCTAATGTCAGTTCTTTCACTCATCTCAAAACGGATTTATTTTTCAAATACAATGTAGTTACTGACATGACAAGCTAGATCGCTACAATTGGAGATACAAAAATATATAAGTACTGCTTTGACAGGTTACGGCAGTAAAGTGATTTCCAACTGACACACATTTAAGTAAACATTGCTAGCAAACTGATTAACTTGCTCACTGGCTAGCTATGACTAGGGGATTTCGTTGTTAGATAGCGAACTAGCTACTACTACAGCGAGTGAATAAAAGTCAGACCAGCGATAACGCAGTTAGTCAGATCATATAGTAACAGGCGAACTAGGTCAGTTAACTATATTCTCTCTCACGATAGCTACATTTCAACAATATATTACCAATTACACCTGGCAATTTAGCTAGCTAGTTACATAGACTAACAACTGCTTTCTAACACTAGCTAGCGGTAGCTAACTAACTAACATTCAATACGGTAGCAAAAACCCGAAGCAGTTGTTTCCGTGGCAATCTTACGTATCTGACATTGAGTTTGAATATATCCCTTTCAGGATTTCTGTTATATCGCAGCTAACCATCTAGTGTGAGGGTATCAAGTTCCTTGGGTTTCTTTTCTGCACTAGCCGAGTCTTCCTCCGGCATCTCCACATCCTGTGGCACGGGGCCCGCATCCTTCTGTTTCTCAGCTTTGGAGTCCTTGGGTTTCTCGCGTCTCTTGGCTGTTGTCTCTTTCATACTGTCTGAAATGAAAGGTGCAAGTAAAGTAACAACTTATCTATCAATAAGACATGTCAAAATAAACTTCGTAGATTTCACAGTTAGTTATTTGACTCCAGTCAACACTCACATTCGTCTCGTCGGCAGAATGACTGGCAACTATTGTGACGCGCAAAGGATTATGGGGGACATACCATACTAGTTGATGCTGACAACATCGAGCAGTCAAAAGTAATAGATGTCTTCTTCTTCTTCTTCTTCTTCGATGAGGTTTAACGGCGGTTGGCATCCAATTTGTTGCATTACCGCCACCTACTAGACTGGAGTACAACTCCCTTATATTTTGCTTGAAAAATAAAATAAAGAAATACCCTACCATCTAACACTACACTCACAAATTCAAAAATATTATTAATAATTAACAACTCCACTATTTAAATATATTAATTCCTACCTCATGTCCTCAACCTGAAATCATGGGACATCACCACTTAACACTCCCTGTAACTCTTCTGATGTCAAGGCTCGCATACCCAAAACCTCTCTGCAGCTGCCACCACAACCTCAATTTTCTTTGACTTACGTTCCATCCCTACAGTACAATTAATAACCATTGCTATAAATGCTAAAAATCCAATCTTACTGAAACATACACTACCGTTGAAAAGTTTGGGGTCACTTAGAAATGTCCTGGTTTTCCATTAAAATAACATCAAATTGATCAGAAATACAGTGTAGACATTGTTAATGTTGTAAATGGCTATTGTAGCTGGAAACGGCTGATTTTTTATGAAATATCTAATTGATCATTAGAAAACCCTTTTGCAATTATGTTAGCACAGCTGAAAACTGTTGTGCCGATTAAAGAAAAATCTCAAACTGGCCAATAAAACGAAAAGATTAAGATGGGCAAAAGAACACTGGACTTTTTCTTTGCAACTCTGCCTAGGTCAGCATCCCGGAGTCGCCTCTCCACTGTTGATGTTGAGACTGGTGTTTTGCACATACTATTTAATGAAGCTGCCAGTTGAGGACCTGTGAGGCATCTGTTTCTTAAACTAGACACTCTAATGTATTTGTCCTCTTTGTCAGTTGTGCACCGGGGCCTCCCACTCCTCTTTCTATTCTGGTTAGAGCCAGTTTGCGCTGTTCTGTGAAGGGAGTAGTACACAGCGTTGTACGAGATCTTTACATTTCTTGGCAATTTCTCACATGGAATAGCCTTCATTTCTCAGAACAAGAATAGACTGACGAGTTTCAGAAGAAAGTTATTTGTTTCTGGACATTTTGATCCTGTAATCGAACCCACAATTGCTGATGCTCCAGATACTCAACTTGTCTCAAGAAGGCCAGTTTTATTGTTTCTTTAATCAGCACAACAGTTTTCAGCTGTGCTAACATAATTGCAAAATGGTTTTCTAATGATCAATTAGCCTTTTAAAATGATCAACTTGGATTAGCAAACACAACGTGCCATTGGAACACAGGACTGATGGTTGCTGATAATGGGTCTCTGTACGCCAAAAAAATAAAGGGAACACTTAAACAACACAATGTAACTCCAAGTCAATCACACTTCTGTGAAATCAAACTGTCCACTTAGAAAGCAACACTGATTGACAATACATTTCACATGCTGTTGTGCAAATGGAATAGACAACAGGTGGAAATTATAGGCAATTAGTAAGACATCTCCAATAAAGGACTGGTTTTGCAGGTGGTGACCACAGACCACTTCTCAGTTCCTATGCTTCCTGGCTAATGTTTTGGTCACTTTTGAATGCTGGCGGTGCTTTCACTCTAGTGGTAGCATGGGACAGACACTACAACCCACACAAGTGGCTCAGGTAGTGCAGCTCATCCAGGATGGCACATCAATGCGAGCTGTGGCAAGAAGGTTTGCTGTGTCTGTCAGCGTAGTGTCCAGAGCATGAAGGCGCTACCAGGAGACAGGCCAGTACATCAGGAGATGTGGAGGAGGCCGTAGGAGGGCAACAACCCAGCAGCAGGACTGCTACCTCTGCCTTTGTGCAAGGAGGAGCAGGAGGAGCACTGCCAGAGCCCTGCAAAATGACCTCCAGCAGGCCACAAATGTGCATGTGTCTGCTCAAACGGTCAGAAACAGACTCCATGAGGGTGGTATGAGGGCCCGACGTCCACAGGTGGGGGTTGTGCTTACAGCCCAACACCGTGCAGGACGTTTGGCATTTGCCAGAGAACACCAAGATTGGCAAATTCGCCACTGGCGCCCTGTGCTCTTCACAGATGAAAGCAGGTTCACTCTGAGCACATGTGACAGACGTGACAGAGTCTGGAGACGCCGTGGAGAACATTCTGCTGCCTGCAACATCCTCCAGCATGACCGGTTTGGCGGTGGGTCAGTCATGGTGTTGGGTGGCATTTCTTTGGGGGGCCGCACAGCCCTCCATGTGCTCGCCAGAGGTAGCCTGACTGCCATTAGGTACCGAGATGAGATCCTCAGACCCCTTGTGAGACCATATGCTGGTGCAGTTGGCCCTGGGTTCCTCCTAATGCAAGACAATGCTAGACCTCATGTGGCTAGAGTGTGTCAGCAGTTCCTGCAAGAGGAAGGCATTGATGCTATGGACTGGCCCGCCCGTTCCCCAGACCTGAATCCAATTGAGCACATCTGGGACATCATGTCTCGCTCCATCCACCAACGCCACGTTGCACCACAGACTGTCCAGGAGTTGGCGGATGCTTTAGTCCAGGTCTGGGAGGAGATCCCTCAGGAGACCATCCGCCACCTCATCAGGAGCATGCCCAGGCGTTGTAGGGAGGTCATACAGGCACGTGGAGGCCACACATACTACTGAGCCTCATTTTGACTTATTTTAAGGACATTACATCAAAGTTGGATCAGCCTGTAGTGTGGTTTTCCACTTTAATTTTGAGGGTGACTCCAAATCCAGACCTCCATGGGTTGATAAATTTGATTTCCATTGATCATTTTTGTGTGATTTTGTTGTCAGCACATTCAACTATGTAAAGAAAAAGGTATTTAATAAGATTATTTCATTCATTCAGATCTAGGATGTGTTATTTTAGTGTTCCCTTAATTTTTTTGAGCAGTGTAGATATTCCATTCAAAATCAGCCGTTTCCAGCTACAATAGCCATTTACAACATTAACAATGTCTACACTGTATTTCTGATCAATTTGATTTTAATGGACAAAAAAATTGCTTTTCTTTCGAAAACAAGGACATTTCTAAATGACCCCAAACTTTTGAACGGTAGTGTATATAACTTGTTGCCCTATCCCTCTGTATTGGTACATATCTACTACTCTCACCACTCCTCCCCCTTGACCCATCTTCCTCTACTTTCTTCACTGCCTCAGCATATGACACCTTCTTCACTACTCTTACCCTGGAAACCTCAACCTGCCTCTCTCGCACGGGACATTTCTGATCCCCAGCGCCATGGGCACCCCTACAATTAGCACATACCACTACTTTCCCCAATGCTACACATTCCTTTGTCTCATGCCCTTCTGCACACTTCTCACACCTTGGAACCTCCCTCCTACACACTGCTGCCACATGCCCATAAGTTTGACACCTGTAACATCTGTCACGCCCTGGCTCTGGGGACACTGTTATGTTGAGCCAGGGTGTGTAGATCTATGTTCTCTATTTCTATGTTGGCCTGAGTGGCTCCCGGTCAGAGGCAACGAGTGTCAGCTGTTTGCTGGTGCGCAGAGGAGGCCGCCAGGTTAAGGGGGCCACTGGTCACAGAGGAGAGGGAAAGTGTGGAGGCACGGCGAGAGGTACTGGGGTGTGTTACCAGTCCGGTCGGGCCCGTTCCTGATCTCTGCGTAGGGCCAGTGGTGTGTGTCCCCAGTGCGGTCCGGTCTGTTCCTGTTCCTCGCATCGAGCCTGTGGTGCGCGTCGCCAGCCCGGTCCGGCCTGTTCCTGCTCTCCGCATCGAGCCTGTGGTACGCTTCGTCAGCCCAGTCCGGCCCATTCCTGCTCCCCGCACCAAGTCTGTGGTGCGTTTCGTCAGCCCTGCCCGGCCCGCTCCTGCTCTCCACACCAAGCCAGTGGTGTGCGTCGTCAGTCCAGCACGGCCCGTGCCTGTTCCCCGCACCAAGCCAGGGGTGCGTATCGTCAGCCCGGCTCGGCCCGTTCCTCCTCCACGCACTAAGCCAGGGGTGCGCATCGTCAGCCCGGTCCGGTCCATTCCTGCTCCACGCACCAAGCCAGGGGTGCGTATCGTCAGCCCGGTCCGGCCAGTTGCTACTCCACGCACCAAGCCAGGGGTGCGTATCGTCAGCCCGGTCCGGTCCATTCCTGCTCCACGCACCAAGCCAGGGGTGTGTATCGTCAGCCCGGTCCGGCCAGTTGCTACTCCACGGACCAAGCCAGGGGTGTGTATCGTCAGCCCGGTCCGGCCAGTTGCTACTCCACGCACCAAGCCAGGGGTGCGCATCGTCAGCCCGGTCCGGTCCGTTCCTGCTCCACGCACCAAGCCAGGGGTGCGTGTCGTCAGTCCGGCTCCGGCCAGCGGGGCCAGACCGGACCAGGGGTACTTTGGGGGGTTGGAGAGGGAGTGGGGATCGGGCCCAGAGCCGGATCCGCCGCCAAGGCGGAGTGCCCACCCGGTCCCTCCCCTGTGATATTTAGTTGGCGCGGTCGGAGTCCGTACTGTCACGCCCTGGCTCTGGGGACACTGTTATGTTGAGCCAGGGTGTGTAGATCTATGTTCTCTATTTCTATGTTGGCCTGAGTGGCTCCCGGTCAGAGGCAACGAGTGTCAGCTGTTTGCTGGTTGTCTCTGATTGGGAGCCATATTTAAACTGTCAGTTTTTCCTTTGGTTTTTGTGGGTTCTTGTTTCAAGTTGGTTGTGTTTGACCGTGTACTGTCACGTTACCGTCTTTGTTGTTTTGATCGCGTTTCGCTCAATAAAGAGTATGTTTGCCTGCAACGCTGCGCCTTGGTTCTCCTCTATGTTAGACGTTCGTGACAACATCGTAATGTATTCGGCACATAAGC